ACTGTATATATGTATAAAAATTAATATTCCCAACCCATTGTTGTTACATATTGACCACTTGCATTTGCTTTTAAAAAGTGACATTTAGCATATTATTGACTGGGTTTGTAAAATATGCATGTTTGCTACCATTTAGTTTTTTTTATATATATTTGGTTATACTGTAGCATTAGGCATAGGTTTCTACTGGTGTTTGTATATATGTATGACATTTACAATTGCACATCTCTGCTCCTTTGTCTGGCAGCAAAGGCATTAGGGAATTTCAGCCATAATTTCTCAAGCTACTGGTGCAGGCTGTTTTCTGTTAACTCTCTGTCTTCGTACAGTTATGGGTCATTGACCCACGGCGATGGACTGCAGCCGAGCTAGGAGTCACTGCAAATATGCTGGTAATGAATTTCAGGGAAGGTAATGGCCTCATATTAAATCTGTCTCAAAGGAGGCAGAGATTAGAGCGGGCCAGATATTCACATGGGAGAGGCGGTAAGATGGCTGCACAGAGGTGGTTTGGATTATGCATGAGGAAAATTCAAAATCGCACAGGAAACAAAATGACACTTTTACAGAATGTTGTGCTGCTAAAATGTTGTAAGGATAGGCACATACAATGTGCGGTCGGGTTGGGGAGCAATATGGCTAGTACGGCTTTGAAATGCTAAATATACTAATTTGTATTATATTAATACAGGATCCTTAGAAGGGGAAGCAGTATTCAATATAACTCCGTGTTTAGATATCATTTTCATAATGGTAGCTATCTGTTATTACATAAAACGTATTACACAATGTGTCCTTCAGAGGGATACTGCTTCTATTATTCTTCATTAGATCTTTTCACTAGCTGGCATTATCGGGAATATTGCTATCTACATATAACGCGACATCCATTTAAAGAAAGTACCCATTTGTGTGCAGGAACAATTGTGTTAAATGTGCCTCTTTAACTGCATTTTTTACATTTGTTCTGGTATATTCTTTTATGCAGTTACAGTATGTGCACTGAACTTGCATTTTTTTATATGTGTTTTTAATGGTAATAAAAGTTTTCTTCCCGTCACATTTCCTGATGGACAATTTGTTTGATCTGAGATTGGTGGTGCTTTTGTGAGCTGTCAATCAGCAAATAGGTCCCTGCTCAGCCTTTTTGATTTTTATCCTGGTGGTAAACACATTCAAAAAGACAAAGAGGAAGTGCTTACTCTACGTAATTATGTCGAAGCACGAGTTAAACAACAAGTTTTGTCTGCTGTACGAGGACCTCACCTGAACCCACACAAGAATATACTCGGATGATAACATGTAAGTTTTTGGTTTCGTTAACAGGCTTTGGCACATTCAATAATTTTTTTAATTTATATTTTAATTTTAACATTCTTTTATCATTTTTGTTTTTAGCTTTTATGCTTGTGGAGTTCTGCATTAAGTGTTGCCAGAATTTGATTCCACGCTGTGAAATGCCATGTGGTAAGTGTTGTTTCAACATACAGTGAAAGGGAATATTTATTTGTAGTTTTTTTTAAAAACAACACCATGTGCCTGTAAATATTTTTCTAGAATTTTTGATTGATGTGTACTTAAAGCTGAAATTTTGCACATTTGCTCAGTAAAAATTAATTCTCCATAATGATGTGTGTCCCATTGCTGGATGACTGCTGTGTTAGTTTTTAACTAATGCTGCAGCATCCACCAGTGGAATACACATTCCTAGGGGTAATTAATTTTTACATGGAAAATGTGCAAAAATAGTTTTTTCCTCAGAGTTCAACTTTAAATATAAAGGTCTTCCCTATTGCTGCGTGCTGAACTTTAAAAAATACTGTGCAAGACATAATTGAAGTACCATGTTATATAAAAGTGTGTGTCAACAATAAACAGAATTATTTAGGCTGCAAGTAAATGTCAGATTTAACCCATGTTTATGAAAAATTGCTTTACTTGCAGTAAAGCAATTTTTACCAACAGTTAAAATGTTTACACTTTGCCCATTTGGACTGGAGTGTTTCAGATGGGCAAATGTTCATCTTGATTTTCATCAATAATGTCATTTTTCACAGGTAATCGTAACCATAGGTCAAGCACAAGCCATTAAAATACATGTATTTCGTGTTCCTGAAATTACATAATGTGGATGACATGTCTTGCATGTCATTTTTTGTGTGTACTTTCTCTAACTTGGGTACAAGACTCAAGTAAAATGGGTCGTGCTGCCCTTTTCTTATAAAGCAGCTGAAAAAGGGACATCACTACTCCAAACATTATTTTTTAACTGCCTTTTTCCCATTTGAGGTAGATGTACTTTTTGACATCAAATTGATTCTGCAGCTTTGGCTTTCACTACTCTTTTTGCACTTTGTAGTGCAGTAGATGTCAGGATTTAATGTTAGACACTCATTTATGGATAAACCCGTAGAACTGTAGCTTGACTGCTTTTCAGTCAAGCTACTCGTTGCAGCACATAGAAGCAGAAACCTGATACAAAGTGCATGGAAATGATAGTATGACTAATGTTATCTAGTTTCTGCTTTGCTTATGGTGCACTTTTGATGGTGGTAATCATTTCCCTTCATTATACTTGTACATAATTGGTAAAACAAACAAAACATATTCATTATTTTTCTTTTCTTCACAGGTGTCGTGCAACTGGTCTTTTTTTCTATTCAACTATTCAATTTGAATATAGAATAGAAAAGTTTACCATTTGCTTGTATGATAAGTCAAGTCATATGGAGTATGCAGGAATACATGTACTTACCAGCCCCTAACAAGGCCCAACGGAGGAGTGCCAAAGTCTTTTGAAGGAGATACAACTTTACCAAATGTGTGCAAGTCAGAAAGCAAATCTGACTGATTATGCAGTGGTGATCAAATTTAAGCTATAAGAAATATTTTATGGTCATACTAATGGCATATGAGGTCCCCGATTCAAATCCAGGTTCGGCCAGGACACTATCTGCATGGAGTTTACATGTTCTTCCGTTTGATTATGTGGGTTTTTTCTGGGTACTGTGGTTTCCTCTCTAATTTCGAGTACATGCTGATAGGTTAATTGGCTATTGTCTAAATTGGTCCATGTATGTGTGCATGTGAGATTGGGACATTATATTGTAAGCTCTTCAAGGGCAGGGACTTGTGAATGAATAGTATGTAAAGTCTTGTGTAAATTGATGGTGTTATACCTGTAATGAATGCTAATAATAAATATATCTTTCAACATTCCTGATTTGAACAATATCTTTTTAAAAGCAAGAGCCGAATCTGCCTATAGCTAATATTTCCTCTGAACAGCAGTGAATAAGAGTATCCAAGATTTATAATGAGCCCAGCCCTTACTTAGCTTTCTGTGCTCATCCTATAGCTAATATACAGTAGTATTTAGTATAGGTTAACATGCTGCAGTTGATCTATGTTATTGACTGTTTACAAAACTGTTTAATAACAACGATCTGATTTTTAAAAAAACCCATGCTGCAACCAAATTTAGATGTATCCCTTACATCTAAAAGAATAAGAAAACATTAAATATTCAGTTAACATTGTTATGATATATACAGTTAACCATGATTGCTCTTGTCTTAGCTAATACCAAAAGAATAATTACATACAGGATAATTTGAAAATTCCAAACCTTACTGTTTTTATTTCTAGCAATGGCGGGTGTCAGGATCTATGTTAAAATCCACTGGCCTGGCTTCCATTTTCTTAGCATCCACCCAGCATTACATGCCTGAAGAAGTAAATTGCTTTAGCCACACTCTGCTAACACCACCTAATTACTAATTAGGATTCAGGACACAGTGCTGCAATGCTCATTATATAAAGTAATGCTTCTCAACCTTAGCATGGGAAATTGTCACCTGTAAGAGATAGTAACAATCATAGTCCCTTGCTGAAAAGATCTACAGCATGTCCACTTTCAGAAGCCATGTTATCAGACAGGGTGTTACCCTCTCCTCCCTTTCAGGTGTAGTGGGTGTTGCTGGACCCTCCGCTAAGAACTGTTTTCCTATCTCTTCTCTATCCATTTCACTGCTGTTGGTGTAGCCCTTGAGCAGCCTAATGGGTCTGCCTGTATGGGCTTGATCCAGAGGGTTTCTCTTATTGGAGAAGCATCATCTCAGGGGCTGCTGTCTGGTATCCTAGAGCAAGTGATTTCTTCTCTATCCTGGGATGCCACTTTGGGAAGGTCTCCTGGTTTGGACACTGTTTGACACCATCTAAGGACTGCTGTATCTTCACTAGCCAGAAGGAATGGTAGTCCTTCCTGCATCAGGTGAGGTAGTCTGGTACCAAGAGTCTGTGTTTCCCCAGTACATTTAAGGGAAAATCCCTGGAAACTGTATGCTTTCTACTGGTAACCTCTGCTCAGACAGAAGAGGCTTAAGCCTTTAGGCACACCTCTGACCCTGCGTTGCAAGTGAAGTCATCAGAGTTGGCCCTGTGTACTCCTGGGCTGTCGGTGGGCAGTACTCTGATTCTCATCCTCTTGAGTAAGATCTTTCAAATGTTTCCTTAGTTTCGTCTTCATTCAGTTGGATATTCTTCAATTTACTGCTATGACTTTTCCTTACTTCATAGATTCTGACACTTTGTGGAATTTGGGGGATCAGGCATATTCTTAGACCTATGGCTTGAGGTCAGAAAAAAGCAGGATCGTTCTTCATATGGATCCCTCTGGAATGACCACAGAACCACCACTTACAGTGTGTACCAGAGAGGCACAATAACTTCATCCTCAGTTC